CGCGTTGCCGAGTGAACTTCCGGTTGCGGTGTTACCGAGTAGAGTCCGTTTCCGGAATTCACGCTGTCGAGTAGAGTCATGTCATCATCAACATATCTAACATATAAGGGAATGTGGAATTTAAGCATATTCAAAGCTTTCATTTCCAAATCTTGTAACACGACATCAGCAATGACCGGAGACAATGGAGAACCCATAGGCATGCCGAATTTTTGTCTATAAATCACATTGTCAAAGCAAAAAAAGGCAGAGTCAAAAACCAGTCTTAACGCGATAAAAAATTCATTTTTGGGGATGTTAAAAATTTTAGAAATGGAAGGCCATCTGTCAGAGATGCTGTCAAGTGCTAAATCAATTGGTCCATTTGTGAAGAGAGAAACTACATCAAGTGAAATCAAAGTATAATTGTCTTCAAGAAATGTATTGTCCAAGATCCTGGTTAAATGGAAACTGTTCTTAACATAGCTAGGAGAATTAACACTAACCTTAGAAATAATTTTGTGTAAAAACAATGACAATGGATAGAGAGTACTGTCGATGGTTGACACAATAACTCTGAGATGAATATCTGGTTTGTGAATCTTTGGTAAACCATAAATACATGGCAGAATTCCATCACTAACATACAAATTATTATAATTTTGTTGAGAGATAAGCTCTTTTTTCTTCCACCTTGTTAAGAGATCTCTCAACTTATTAGTTAGATTACAAACTGGATTTTTCTTTATAATTTCGTAAGTATTATTTTCCCCTAACATTTCAAGCATTTTTTTGTCTATATTCCACTCTATCCATTGCAACAGTAACGTTTCCTTTATCTGCTATAGTGAGGATGTTTTTTTTAAATTTTTTAAAAAAGATTTAGTTAATTTCCACGCTGACCAGAGTTTATTTTTTAATAAGTTGGTCTGATAAAAATAAGAAAATAGGTTACTTATAATTGGTATTATTCTATTTCTAAGTTATCGTCCACCACGGCCCTCGGGCCCGCGTGGGGCCCTCCCCTTCCCCCTTGGGGGATGGGGTGGTTCCCTCGCGGTACCGAGGACTGAAATGACGACGCAGCTCCATTGCTGCAGGCGGGCTCTGCCTTAGGGCATCGAGCCCATGCCACCGGGGTAGCGAATGCCTGGTGGGGTCTTAGATACCCCATTGCACCCAGGCATTCACCACCAGGTTTGCTCCAGTGGGCGGTCGTTCTTCATGAACTATCGCCCATTGCACACTGGGCGTCTCTGG